CACACACACGCTGCAATGTGACATGCTAGGACTCCAGAGTACTTATTGCAGCGTGCCGTGGGCCGAGGTGCATGTCCATGGCGGGGATGGTGAAAACTTTTTCTTTGCTGCGCATGGGGTAGTCGCAGGGGGCGCCATTGCCGCTCCCCTCGCGCGCGCGTGCGCGATCCCTTGCATGGATACAATGAATGAGTCTGTGCGCAGGTCGCCGAGCATGTACATCGGTAATTATGGCATTCCGTCCACGGGCACAGCATCACATGTCATCGAAGACATCGTGACATCAGTCTCGGAATTACACGCAGTCCTCGCGGACGCGATGTGCCTCGTTCCAGGGGGCAAAGCTCAGTCGCATGCTCTTCCCGGGCAGCGGGGGCCAAGGTTGTCGGGCTCCTTGGAGGTCTGGGGGGCGGGGGAGGGCATGGCGTCGGCAGTCAGCTCCGCGATCAATCTTAGGGTGGACGACGCGGCGGGAATGCCGCGGAGACAGGAGGCAGGGGGGCAGGGGGCGCAGCATGCTCGCGGGCAAGCAGCATTTAAGAAGCGCGCGCCTAGGCTCGGCAGGTTCCGAGCTGCTTTTGAGCAGAGGCTGGCAGAGCGAAGTTGTTCTAAACCATCCCGTAGGGAGCTCCGCGGAAGGCCCCAGGGGGGGGGGGGGGGCATGCGTCTGCCACGCCCAGCGCAGCGCTTCGCGGCCCCACAGGGAGCTCAACGTAAGGCCCCAGAAGGGGCGGGGGGTATCATGCGTCTGCCACACCCAGTACGGCGTTTCGTGGCCCCATAGGAAGCCCCACCGAAGGCCCCATGTGGAAGGGGGTACCACATGCGCCTGCCACGCCCAGAAGAGCGCTTCGCGGCCCCATGGGGACTCCACCGAAACCTCCAGTGGGACCACCCACATGCGTCCCGGAGACCAGTTTGGCATTTTCACCCACCCAGTACAGCGCTTCGGGTCCCCATAGGGAGCTCCACCGAAGCCCCCAGTGGGACCGTCCGCATGCGCCCCACACACCCAATTTGGCACGTTCACCCACCCAGCACAGCGTTTCGCGGCCCCACAGGGAGCACCGACGATCCCGGCGCTACCGCCCGCATGCGTCCCCCCCCACCGAGAGCAGCGCTTCACCAAAGAAGATATTCACAATTGCGGTACCCACAACTGCACATGGTTGGGCCCTTCGCCAGGATATGTGTTATAAACCAAAATAGCGACGGGCCCCTTCGCAGGGACCACATATGCTGCTGAAGTTCGCGGAGCTTCCGGTTACGAGTTGGTCAGTTTGCGTCGATCCGTCGCGCGGGTGTTTAAACCGTCCCCGGGTCAGCGAAGCTTCGCTTCTTTGCCCACCCTTGAGAACGATCCATGCTGGTTCCCTACTGTTTCGCAAGTGCCACGGCATTCCAAAGAGATTTGGGCCAACCAATGCAAGATATTCCAGTTGCCATAGTCGTTCAGATTTCTGCGGCAAGTTTGGGCGCAAAGATTCGAGGAGGCCCCGTCGGGGCCATGAAATGGTCGTTATCTCGCATTGGCTGGGGCACGAAGTCACTCACCGAGCTTGCCGACGATTTCGGGGGCACCTTAGGCGCGACAACATGTCGCCAGCGCTGATCAAGTCTTCCCTGAGGGATGGAGTCTTCAGGCACTTGCAGCGCAATTCAAGCAAGTCCAGCGGCGTCGACGCCAAACTCTGCTACGACGTGGTCCAGGAAGACCTTCCCCCCTGCATATTCAACTCCTACAAGAAGGGGTTTACCCGCAGGCTTGGTTGCGCAGCTGCCTGGACCATGGATCGCGCGATCAAAGCTGGATGCCAAGTGGAGTCCGACCTGTGTCCGTTCTGCAAAGCTGCCTTGGATTCGATCTACCATCGGTTATGGCGTTGTTCGTCGCTTCGATCGCTCAGGGATCAAATCGTGGACCATGAGGTCCAAGAGGCAGCCAGAGCGATCGACCCGGATGATCGGCAGCAGCTTCTCCTTAATATTGAGGCGGTTTTTCCTTCGCCTAAGTGATTGCTGGCCTCGCCCTCGCAACGAAGGCGGAGTTTGCGCGTCTTGGGCTGCTGATCCAGAGAGGGGGGGCGCGAACGTCTCGGGGGGCACCTGCATGGATGGGAGCTGTGAGCGTAGCATAATTAAAGAGATATCTCGATCAAGCTTGGGGCTTCCAGCCCATTTTGAGTCTGGGGAGCTTTCATGTTCTGTACATGGGCCTATCTAGCCGCGCCTCCCCCAAACCAGCCACGCGGGGGAGTTTGGGGCCCTGGAGGCTGCCTCTCAATGTATTGATCGCCCTTCTCTGGGGCGCTCTGATTGCCGGAGCGTTGTCAGGGCCGAGGATGCCCCCAGGGATCTGCAGTTCTCCGACGCGCGCCTCTATGCTGTCATGCTGTTTTCAGCCCTTTCGGCACTGTGGGTTGATTTGAAGAAAGTGACGGCCCACGCGCCAGAAGGAGATGCACCCTCTTTCCAGGACGCCTTCTTTAAGATAGGTAATGACTCGGCCGATAGGGCGGCCAAGCTCGGTTTCAGGCTGCGCCCTGGGCCCACTAACCACGAGCGTGTTTTTTTGGCCCTGGCAGGTTCGAGCGCGCAATGCTGTGGCCAAGTTCGGAGCACGGTTTCTCTCAGTTTGGCTTCTGTTTGAGGTGTCAGGTGTTGAACTAATGCAGGCCCCGAGGGAGGCCAGAGCCAGCGCGCCCGCGGTCGACCGCGAATGTTCGTGGTGTAGAACGTATTGGAGGTGCGGCACATGCTTGCGCTTGAGACGCCAGGATAGCCGCCTCTCGCCGTCTGGTTATTCGAGGGGGGTGCCTTTGGTGTTTCAAGTTTCGGCTCTAGTAACCGTCTGGCTCAAGTTTCGGCTCAAGTAACCGCCTGGGCTCAAGTAACCGCCCGGCACCGTGCATCTCGCTGCAGCGACAGTGCGATAATGCGAAAGAATGATGGCGAGCCCAATCCATTCGCCAGCATTCAAGAAGCCCCGCGGGGACGATCCGGCAGCAGAGGACGAGGAGGAGATGGGGGAGCAGATCAGCGAAAATGAAATGAACGAGATGATCGAGAAGGACACGATGAAGATGATGTTTAAGGGCATGCAGTCCATGAAGAAAGAAATGGCATTGATGATGAAGGCGACGGCATCGACCGCTGAGGAGGCAAAAATGGAGGCGACAGCAGCCGAGCCGGTGGCCTTGTACGCTCAGAAGACGGCGGCCAGCATCGAGGAGCAGATAAAGAAGATCCAGGGCTCGGCACTCACGGAGGAGATCGTCGAGGACATCGTCAGGGAGAAAATGGAGAGCATTCAGGTCGCGGGAGGGGGGGCAGTTACCACGGTAATAGGGGGCTTTGCCGATCTCACAAAGGCAGCGGCAGAGGGCTGGATCACCAGCAAATTCAAAGAGTTCGAACTTGAGCCTCCCAGTGAAATCGATCACAAAGGGGAGGATTTCAGAGGATCGCTCCTTGCTAGAGTTGGGGGCGAAGGAGCAGCAGACAAAGCAGCGCGAGCGTTTCAAATTCATTCGCGCAAGGTTGGTGGGAAAGACATTTGGTGCAAACGCGACCGGCCAGCTCATGTCCGCATGCCCCTATCATATCTTCTGGGCGTGCGTCGGCAATTCATTCAGTGGGGCTTCGCCACAGGTGAAGTGAAGGTAGACGAAAAGGCCATGGCGCTGAAGATTGGGGGAGCGCCGGTACTCACCGTCAAAGTCTCGGACAGTCAGATCGTCGACGATTGGGTGGGCAAAGGTTGGGAAGAGTGGGGAGACTTACGCAGCAGTGCGGAGCTTAAAGAATTGATAACCACAGCAAACGACAGATTGCGCAAGATGGCGGATAACCAGGGAAAGGTTAAAGGAAAAGGACAGCTGGGGGCTGGCGCAGGCCAGGCTTGACGGGTGCAGCGGTTCATTGGCGATGTTTCACCTCGCTGTGTTTGAGACAGCTCGAGCGATCAGTTTTGGGAGCCGCGCGGCCCTGCACACTGGCAAAGTCACCATGGGCACGTGGAACGTGGAAGGGGCTGACGGACATCAAGGGGTGCGTGAATTGCGTAGCATAATGAAAGCAAGATCGATGCGCATTTTGCTTTTGCAGGAGACGCATCACACACACTCCCATTACGAACGATTGGAGGGAGGGCACCTGTTCATCAATTCCGGCAGTGACGCCCCAAGCAAGACTTACGACGGAGTCGCATTCATCGTTGCACCAAGTATGGCAAAGTCACTTCCCAGTTTCAAGTAGCATTCCTCTAGGATCGCAATTTTGAAGATACGCGCGAAAGGAGGCACATTTGCAAGTGTGAACAAGTGCGCGCCGCACAGTGGACACGATTACGGCGCCCGGCAGGCGCATTACGCAGAGCTTCACCAGCAGCACTCGTCCTTAAGCTGCCACGGGATGAAACTGGTCGCCGGGGATGTCAATGCCAGGTTACACCGAGCATTTGCTGGAGAGGGGGACATGGTGGGGCCGCGCCTTTTCGGGGAGACCGATTGCGACAAACAGCCCGACAGCAATAGGGAGTCATTCATCGAGGCTTGCGTGGTCACGACTCTCGCGGTCGCAAATACTTTTGCGCAGGATGACCCGGAAACACAAATTACGTATTGGGGCATCGGCAAGCGACCGGTGGGCGACATTTTGCATAGAAGCTTCGCTCAATTGGATTTGTTTCTGGTGCCGCAAGACGTGCTCTGGCGCGTCGGCTGGATTGGAGCGATCGTCGGCAAGTTTTTCAGTCGCATCACTTCTTGGTCGAATCAACGATTGCTGTCGAAGTGGGAAAGACAGTCCGGCAGACAAAGAGCCGTTACGACATGCACAGTTTGGGCAAGAAGCCCACCGTGAAGGACGCTTTCAGCAACCGTTTTGAGTTTTTGGCCACGTAGGAGTTGCGCGTGCCGGCCTCCAGCATTGATGACACAGTAGATCGATTCGAGGCGGCGGTGGCCGCAGCTGTAAAAGACGCCGCGCCGCCCGCCCAGGCGACAGCGAGAAGGCCATGGATCAGCAAGGCCACCTTGGAGGTAATCGAGAAGAGAACATCAGCCCTAACAAACGGAGACAGACGATCGGAACTATCGCTCAACAAACTCATCCGGAGCAGCGCGAAGGCAGTGCAGGGGGAAGTGGCTCGACGATTTGGCTTCAGATGGGTCGTGGACATCAGTGCAAAAGCTCCGCCGGCACAGGCAGCCTGCAAGAGGGAAGTTGTGCGACAAAGACGGGGTTCTTGTAGAGTCATGTGACCGGGCAGAGACGTCTGCCGAGCATCTGGAGATGGTCCTATGGGCCGTCCGGCCGCTGACGGCACCAACTGCGCAGGAACCAGTCGACCAAGAGCTGCCCACGTGCGAGGGGCCGATCACAGTGGAAGAAGTCCAGGCAGCAGTGCGCAAGCTGAAGGCCGGGAGAGACGCCGTCCAAGTGCCATCCGAAGCCCTGAAGGCTTTCATGGGGCATGTCGACAGTGCGGGTGCACAATGGCTTACGATAGTAATGCCGGAATGCTGGGAAACCAAAGCCACTCCGTTGAGTTGGCATTCGGCCAAAGTCAGAGAGATATACAAGAAGGCCAGCCCAACAGACTGCGAGAATTACAGACCAATATTTCTCGTCAGCGTGTTGCACAAAGTATATGCGATGATCTTGCTAGCAAGATTGAATGCCGCAGGGGCGGAAAACTGTTTGTGGAGCGCGCAGTTCGGGTTCCGGCAGATACTCTCCACCGAGGGTGCTCTGTTCATCGCCCGGCGCAAGATCGAGCAGGCGTGGGCCGCGAAGGACGGCGAGGCATTCTTACTCGCACTGGATTGGAAGAAGGCCTTCGACAGCATCGCGCCCGAGCGCTTACTGGCGGTTTTGAAGCGGTTCGGAGCGAAGGGCAGCGTGGCCCTCGCGTTGGCGGAGATCTACAGCTAGCGCCAGTTTACAGTCGTGGAAGACGGCGTCGAGTCGTGTCCGCGACAGCAACGAGCGGGCATCAGCCATGGTTGCCCGCTGTCTCCTTTTCTCTTTGGCATTGTGAGGGCAATATTCATGAGAGACGCGGTCAGTCGCCTGGGCCGCGCGGCCAAGCATGCGCACGACTACGGGCATCTTTCTGAAGTGCTGTATGCAGACGACACTTTGCTGATTGGCTCTCCGGCAGTGCACGTCGAAGAGTTGATGGAGTCGATAACCCATTGCGGTGGCCAGCGCGGCCTCCAGATGCACTGGGGGAGGGGGGGGCTGCAGCCAATGGAGATATGCGCGGACCTGAACGTCGCCACTCCGACCGGGGACGCGCTGGAGGCCAATGGCACCATGCTGTGCCCGGGGGCCACAGTGCACAGCGACGGCCACTCCACTTCGGAAGTGGGCAGAAAAGTCGGGGCCGCCACGGCAGACTTCCGATCGCTTTGCACTGTCTGGAAGAACGCGACGATCAGCCTGGCCAGAAAAATCGAGCAGTTTCAGTGTATACCTGGGTCGAAACTGAGATACGCAACGGCGCCTATGTGGGTCATGAAGACAGATTTGCGCCGGTTGGATGGATTTCCCTGCCGGTGCTCACGAAAGATCCTTCGCATTCTTCCGGCATTCGTCTCACGAGTCAGCAATGATGAAGTCTTGAGGAGAGCACAGTGTCAAAGTTTATCGGTGAGCATCCCGAGTTCGCAGTTGAACTTGCTCGGCCAGGTGATCAGAGACCCGTCCAAGGCAGAGCTGAGGAAGGTCGCTTTCCATGGCGCCGGCACCACCCCAGAGACTGCAGTCTGGGTGAGACGCCGCGGCAGGCCTCGACAGAATTGGGTGGAACAGTTGTGTTTGATGATGCGACAGGAAGCTGGGGGATACGCGGGGCGGACAGAGTCCCCGCTTCACAGACAGAGTGGAAACAGCATGCGAGAAGTTTAGTAGCCCGCATATAGCAAATGCACTGCGCAGTGCACGGTAGAGGTAGGTAGGTAGGAGAGAGCGAGGACATGCGCTCCTCGCTTTTGAGTGCTCCGATGGGAGTCCACTGTTCGTTTGTACCTCGTGCAAGGCCTACACTACGCTGGGCCCTCTCAAGAGCCTGGGTGAACAACACCTTGGGGCGACGAGGAATAATAAGAACAGGTGGTCCATCATTACAAAGGGCCGTCACCCGAATTACAACGGTGTTTCGTTGACGGCAAACATCTTTGTTATCGAGTGATCTTGGTGGCAAAGGACGGCCCATGTAACAAATGCGCCCTTGACCGTGCAGCCGCAGGCCATCTCATGTCTCCCCACTCTTCTGTTTTCTTCTCCCACCTCCCTTTCCTTCTCTGTAGGATGAGGGGTGAGAGAGGAGGGGCAGCAGCAGGAGGAGGACGATCTCAGGGCCTTCGGCCTCGCAGAAGAAGGTTCCCTGGGTGAAGGGGGCGTCGGATGGTGCAGACGCGGGTTTCTGCCCGGGCGAACTTGGCCAAAGGGTGGCCGGGAATTCAAGCGTATTTGCAGATCTTGTTGTCTATATTTTTCGCCGTATCGCAGCAGGAACATGTACCTATATTGCTACCCTTCGCCCGTGCCCCCTCTTTCGCCAACCATGTTGTGGTGTTGGGCCTTCGGTTTGAAAGGACAGCGCCCCGCGTTCCCACTCCCCCCCACTCCTCCTCCCTCCTCCCCCTCTTTGCTTCTGCCCTCTGCATGTTCCTGTTTCGGCACACCTCACACGCTTCGTGGCCCCAGAAGGGAGTGTTTGGCGCTCGCATGATACCACCGCACCATCCCGTGGCCCCATGGGGAGCTCCACCGCAGGGCCCAGTGGCTGCACTCGCATGACAAAACCGCACCCATGTCAGCACGCCCCTCACACGCTTCGTGGCCTTATGGGGAGCTCCACCGAAGGCCCCAGTGTCTGCGCTCGCACGCGCCCGCCGCATCCACGTCGGCACACCCTTCACACGCTTCGTGGCCCCATGGGGAGATTCACCGAAGGCCCCAGTTGTTGCGGTCGCATGACACCACCGCGCCCATTTTGGCACACCCCTCACACGCGTCGTGGCTCCATAAGGAACGCCGCCGCGGGCCCCAGCGGCCGCGCTCGCATGACACCACCGGACCTGTTTTCGGCACACCTCTCACACGCTTCGTGGCCCCATGGGGAGTTCCACCGAAGGCCCCACTGGCTGCGATCGCATGGCACCGCCGCACTCATTTCGGCACACCTCTCACACGTTTCGTGGCCCCCATGGGGAGCTCCACCGAAGCCCCCAGCGGCTGCATTCGCATGGCAGCACCGCACCCATTTCGGCACTCCCCTCATTCGCTTCGTGGCCCAATGGGGAGCTCCACCGAAGCCCCCAGTGGCTGCGCTCGCATGACACCAAAGCACCCATGAGGGCACGCCCCTCACACGTTTCGTGGCCCCATAAGGGGGCTCTACCGAAGGCCCCAGTGGCTGCCATCGCATGGCACCGCCGCGCCCATTTCGGCACACCGCTCACACGTTTCGTGGCCCTACAAGGAACTCAACCGAAGGCCCCAGTGGCTGCGCTCGCGTGGCACCACCGCGCCCATTTTGGCACACCCCTCGCACGCTTCGTGGCTCCATAAGGAACGCCACCGCAGGCCCCAGCGGCCGCGTTCGCATGACACCACCGCACCTTTTTTCGGCACACCGCTCACACGTTTCGTGCTGCATAAGGAGCGCCACCGGAGACGATACCCACAATTGCGTTATTCACAATTGCATATGGTTGGGCCCTTCGCCAGGATCAGTTTCCCAATCATCCTGTGGTGTTGGGTCCTCGTTTCGAAGAGACAGCGCCCCGCGTCCCTCACTCCTTCCTTTTTTCTTTCATCCTCCCCCTTCTCCTCCCCCCTCCTCCCCTTCCTCCCTCACTTTGGCACACCCCTCACACGTTTCGTGGCCCCATAGTGAGCTTCACCGAAGGCCCAAATGCCAGCGCTCGCATGTACATCCCTCACACGCTTAGTGGCCCCATAGGGAGGGAGCTCCACCGAAGGTCCAGATGCCAGCGGCGCTCGCATGCGCCCACCACACCCATGTCGGCACACCCCCCACACCCCTCACACGCTTCGTGGCCGTAATGGGAGCTCCACCGAAGGCCAGAATTCCAGCGCTCACATGCGCCCACCGCGCCCGTTTTGGCACACCCCTCATACGTTTCGTGGCCCCATGGGGAGCTCCACCCAAGGACCAGATGCCAGCGCTCGTATACGCCCACCGCATCAATTTTGGGTCACCTTTCACACGTTCCGTGGCCCCACAGGGAGCTTCACCGAAGGCCCACATGCCAGCGCTCGCATGCACCCACCGCGCCCCATCACACGCTTCGTGGCCCCATTGGGAGTCCCACCGGAATCCCAAATTTCAGCGCTCGCACGCGCCCAGGGCGCCCATGTCAGAAACCCCTCACACGTTTCGTGGGCCCATAGGGAGCTCCACCGAACGCGGTGCATACAACGACGGTGCCCACAACTGCATGTAGTGGGGTCCTTTGCCAGGTCAATTCGGCCTGCTGGGAGGACTTCGTTGCCACCACTGGATTCGTTTGGAAATCCTGGTCAGGACGCGCCCTGGGAGAGGTCCGGGGAGTCGGCGGTTTGGAGGTGAGATCGCAGTGGAACGGAAAGCCCCTCCCTTCTTGGGAAATCGGTTTCGGTTTCGTGTTCGTGTCGCGCGTGCGGGCGAGGCGAAGCTGCGCGGGCGTGCGAGAGGACTGACCCCGCCGTCGCCAGGGCGATTCGAATGCAGTGGACCGCCCCTCCGCCCTCTGTAGGCGCTTGGTGGCCCGGGGTGTCTCGCCGTGGTGTCCTGTGGGGTGTCCCGTTGGTGTCCCGGCGGTGTTCCGTCGGCGGTGGGCGGGCGGTGGCCGGGGGTGTCCCGCCTTTGTATCGGTAGTGAAGTCGATAGTGAGATCGAACATGATATCGCTAGAATGTGATGGATAGTGAGATCAAAGGTGAGATCGACAGTGAGGTTGATTGTGACATTGGTTTTGAGATCGATAGTGAGGTCGGTACTGAGACCGATAAAGGAGTCGATAGAGAGACCGCTAGTGGGACCGATCGCTGAATCCATTGGAACTAAGACTGGCCGCGAGGTCGATAGTGGGATCGATCGAGTGGGATCGAAAGCGTGGACGATAGTGACATTACGTCTCAGCGCAAGATTTTCATCACGCGTGGTCGCTAACTCGAAGGCACATCGTCTCATCATCATCATACCCATCGCGTTTGCCGATAGTTTGTTCTTTCCCCCCACCGCCCCCCCAACCTCCTTCTCACCCGAAGGATGGCCGTATAGCTAGCGGTATCGGTACTTGTTGGTTCTCCCACCGGCCCCCGTTTCTCCAGTTCCCTCCTTCCCCCTGGCTGGGCAGGTGGGCTCATTACTCTCGATGCTCGCTCATAACAGGCATCGCGCCGTTCCTGGCAACCGCGCCGCTTGTTTCCATGACGCAGATCACAGAGCACAGGGGTGGCACGTGGCACGATGGACAACAGTGGAGGGCGCCTGCTCGCGGCCTCCCACCCTCACCATGTTGGCGTCAGTGTCCATACATGTAAGGACAGGAGGGAAGTGGTGAGATGAGCAAAGTATGCGATATGGCTTCAACGCGTGAGGGGGGTCAGTCTGCGGCACGGGGCGATGTCGTTGCTAGACAACGTGCTTGCGAGAGCGGTTGGAAGGGGCACGTGGCAGCGCACGATATAATTCGTAGTGGAATCGAGGTGGGCTCGGGCGGAGCCTGATATGGTTCTCAGTGCCATTCCCGGGTCGTTCTTTTCGGGTTTGTACTTCCCCGTTGTCGCCAGAGTTGTGGAGACGAGACAAACACGCTCTCCCGCAGATGCTGCCTCTGGTGAGGGGGAGGGGGTCTGTGCGAATCTTGTAGCCTGGGGCGCCCCCGCCGCGCCGCCGTGAGGCGACCGAGGGACGGGCCACTCCGTCTCCTCCTGCCCTCTTCCTTTTCTTCTCCTGCCCACTCCGTCGTACCCCTCCCGCCGCAGACAATACGACCCTAGTGGGGCTGCAACTGGGAGGGAACCGAACCGAAGGGAGGGGGGCTGGGTGTTGCCTCGTTCGCTGCCTGCGGCATGGACCTCGCAGGAGGGCGGCCCATCTCCGCTTGATGCGTTTGTTCCCTGACCGAGAGGCTGTACAACTGTATCTTCTTGTCTTCCTCATCCTCGTGCTCCTCGTCTTCACCCTCCTTGTTCTCGTCCTGCGTGGTCCTTATCCAATGACTCGTTCGTTCTATCCTCATCGTTATCATCATTATCATCATCCTTGATCGTATCGTTGTTCACGCCTCCTCCTCCTCTTCCTGTTGCTCGCCTTATCAGTCGCTTTCCCTTCACTATTTAGTTTGCGACATCCTCGCGGATTACTTTGTAGCGGCACGTTGCCGAGCGCGAGGGTAGGGCACAAGCAGAGGGCGGGGGAGGACGAGCCGAGTTGGATCAAGCGCGCAGTCCAGCCATGAGGAGGCGGACTGAAGACGAGGAGTAGGCGACAAGGGTTAAGAGGTGGGAAGAGAGGGGCCAGGAGGAGGAAGGAGTAGGGGGAGGGAGGAGGACGAGGAGAAATCAGGAGGATGGTGATGATAAAGTGGTGGATGAGGGCGAACAGGAGGAGGACGAGCAGGGAAGCACGCGTGAGAAGGATCAGTAAGATGAGGGGGGGGGCCGGGGACGAGGAAAAAGAGAAGTTGGAGGAGTAGGTGGACGCAAACCGCCTTCTGTCAGGGTGCTCGTCGAGCGCCTGCGCTTTGCTGGGTGCCCCAACTTGGACGACGACGCCGCCCGCCGGATTGCAGAATATTCGAAGTG